GTAGAGATGAGGTCTCACCAAGTTGCCCAGGCAGGTCTCGAACCCGTGGGCTCAGGCAATTCACTCACCTCGGCCTCCCAAAGAGTAGGATTACAGGCTGAGCCACTGAACCCAGCCTCTGGTCACTTTTAACTGCTCACAAATGGTCTGTACTATGAGTGCTGCAGAGGTTAAAATGTGATAAGAAATTGCAAGTGCCAGGGCTCAATAATACCCTTTAAGGTAGCGGATTTTTTTTTTTTTTTTTTGAGTTGGAGTCTCACTCTGTCACCCAGACTGGAGTGCAGTGGCCACTCCCACCACCGCAGCCTTGACCTGCTGGGCTCCGGCGATCCTTCCGCCTCAACTTTCCAAGTAGCTGGAACTACAGGCGCGCGCTACCACGCCCGGCTCGTTTTTTGATTTATTGTAGAGATGAGATCTCACCAAGTTGCCCAGGCGGGTCTCGAACCCGTGGGCTCAGGCAGTCCACTCACCTCAGCCTCCCAAAGGCGCGGGATTACAGGCTGAGCCACCGAGCCCGACCAAGGTAGTGGATTGATACATAAGTTCATAGAGTTATTCTTGTCTGTGGAATGCAAATGTCACATGGTTGACTGGTCACAGTTCACCACATTTGCCAATTCTTGGGTTGCCTGACTTGGATCGTCATGGATTAAAGTGTTTAAATGGTCTTCATCAAAGCCCGAGGTCTTCCTAAACATATAGCATCACCTGGGTCAAAGTAGGCCCTGTTTGAAATGACAGAACTACTTTCTTGCTGTGCTTTGCTGATGCATTCTCCCGTACATAGCATGAAGGCTTCAAGCCGCCTCCACTGCCTTTACTCCTCTGTTAAACTCAAATAGAAGGATATGTTGAAGGGCTTGTTTTTTTCCCACTTGACATTCCATCTTCTTTAGCCCACACATAGGACTGACTTTCTTCAAATCTGCAAAATGCAAGGCATATTCATAAGTACAATACTGTCACTCCAAATGACAAGTGACACACAATAAGCAAACTCCTAACACTGCAGTATTGCCATGCCAAAACAAACACTATGAACGTATGCATCAATCTGATAATAAGACTGCAGCAGACCTGTGACTGGACGTCTGATAAACCAGCTTTATAACATGTTATCAGTGTTGAGAAATTAATCCCAGGCTGACGGTGTGAGATTGGGAGATCAGGAAGCCTTTAGGGCGTGCCTTCTATATGAACATTAAGGAGCATGTGTGAGGATGAAGGTTGGGGAGCAAAGGTGCCTGGGCTAGTGCCAGTGATGGGGCACATGAGGGAAAAAAGGCAACAGCAGGTGGACGTGGCTCGGGACACCAGGCAGGGTGGGGATCTGGGCCATTGGACCGGAGTCGGGGAAGAAGCAGGAAGTGCCATTAAGTTTTAGTCACTTCCCAGAGATCTGCTTCTCCTGCAGTCCGCTAAGCAAGACAATACCTTTGAAAAGGGCCTGTTGAGCCGGGCTCGATGGCTCAGCCTGTAATCCCTGCACTTTGGGAGGCTAAGGTGAATGGATTACCTGAGCCTGTCGGCTCGCCGCCTTGGGCAACTTGGTGAGACTTCATCTCTACGATAAATCAAAAATTAGCTGGGCATGGTAGCGCGCACCTGTAGTTCCTGCTACTTGGAAGACTGAGGTGGAAGGATCTCTGGAGCCCTGCAGGTCGAGGCTGCAGTGACTGGGAGCGGCCACCGCACTCCAGTCTGGGTGACAGAGTAAGACTCCAACTCAAAAAAATATTAAAGGACCTGTTGGAGGGCCGGGCGCCAATGGCTCACACCTGTAATTCCAACACTTTGGAGTTCGAAACCAGTCTGGGCAACATAATGAAACCCTGAAAAAAAAAAAAAATTAGTTGGGCATGGTGGCGTGCACCTGATGTCCCAGCTATTTAAGAAGCTGAGGTGGAAGGATCCCCTGAGCCCAGTAGGTTGAGACTCCCATGAGCCATGAACATTGTGATTGTGCCACTGCACTCCAGCCTAGGCAACAGAGTGAGAGCCCAACTCGAAAAAAATTATAATGAAAGGGCTTGTTGGTGTGTTTGGATTGGATCCCATCCTGTCCCTGTGACTGAGCCCCCACCCTCAACTGTGTCCCCATGCAACCCCCAAGTCAGACTCTCACATCGCTAAGGAGAGGTCACAGCTGTTGGTGATGTGGGGAGGGGCCTAGCCAAGTCTACTTCTTCCTCTTGTTTATTGCTGACGCTGGCCTACTCTGGACCATGACAGCTACTCATGTTCCTGCAGTTTGCTCACATGCTGCCTTTGGTCTGGGTGACACTGCGTGTCATACCACTGACCAGACAGTGTCCAGGGCAGCACAACATAGAGTTTTCCACTCTGGTAAAGATGGTCTTTTCTTAAAACATCTTTGTGCAGCGTTGAGCCAGCATGATGCCTGTAGCTCTGAGTCTCGGAGCTCCCTGTAACGTGTGTTCTAGTGACCAAGAGTTACATGATTGGCTTCCTGGATCCCTTCCTTCCTCTCAGGTGTCTCCCTCCTGTGGTTCTTGTTCATCCACATCTATGTCTCTGTGGGCCAGGTGAGACACAGCAAGGCCTTCATGCACTCTCTTTATGTTGCAGGTGGTGCCCGTGTCCACTCGTCTCAAGCGGGCCTCTGCCCCCACCTTTGACAACGACTACAGCCTCTCCGAGCTACTGTCGCAGCTGGACTCTGGGATTTCCCAGGCCATTGAGGGCCCAGAAGAGCTCAGCCGTAGCTCCTCTGAGTCCAAGCTGCCATCGTCCAGCAGTGGCAAGAGGCTCTCTGGGGTGTCTTCAGTGGACTCTGCCTTCTCTTCCAGAGGGTCACTGTCGCTGTCTTTCGAGCGGGAGCCCTCGATGGGTGGTGAGTGAAGAAGCCTCCTGAGGGTCCTGACGTGTGACAAGTGCACTGTGGGACTGTGTGGGACAGTGGACATGGGCATCAGAATCCAGCGGCCAGTTTCCTGACCCAACAGAAGCTGTGCTTTCTCTCCCTTAATTAATTAATCTTAGGTGTCCATGGCATAGTTGTTTCACTGAGTACAAATCTAAAGACACATGCTCTGGTGGAGCGTCTCTGTTGGGTGTCACTTAGTGTGTGGTGGGATCTCATGCAGGAGCCCGCCCCACAAGGGTCATGGGAAGTGTTGAAGGAGAGACGGTGGGCCTCCAAGGCTGGCTCCCAACAATCTCACCTTAGGTCTGCAGATTGAAAGCCTGCATCCCACCTTGTGAGCCCTGTAGAATGGCGTCATGCACCCCAGCAAACTTTCTCTCCCAGATGCTGGCCCTGTACCCCCTTTTCAGTCAGTGCCTGATGAACACCCCATTTTCTCACATGTGGGCCCCCACTTACCACTGATAGACATTGTAATGGGATGGTTGTCTTTGGAGGCTACAGTGTCCATTTAGCTAGTCTTATATTTTTATGATAATTTTGATGGATTTGTTTTTAGAAGATTTTTTTTTTCCTGCTCCTGCCCCAGGGTACTGAGGCAAGGGCTTATTCTGGCTTCCTGTTTGCCAGCGATGGGGATAAGATTAGTCCTGTCTTGCCCCTGAAGGTGCAGTGGCTCCCATGGGAAAATAGGGACTTTTACACTCAGGGTTGTGGCCAAGGAGGTTGAGGGCTGAGGCTGTGATCTTGGAAGGGAGGAGAAGTTTGTTTTTCTTGGTAGACTGGGGAAATCATCTGAGAGGGGAGGACTTTTTTGGATCTTATGGGCCTCCTGACAATTTTAGAGTAGAATATTGGGGAGAAAGAGGTTATTTAGGGTTAAGGAAATGCTACACCAGGAAGTGGGGAAGACCTGGCTTGGAGGTTGGCAGTGGGGGATGGGGTGAAGGAGGAAAGCCAGGACCACGTTGAAGGCTGACCAGAAAGAAACATCACCTTTGGGGAAGTGTGTTATAGAACATTCTCTCCGGTTATAACACTCCCAAGTGTCATCTTGTCTTTCTGTTTGAGAGAGGATGAAGGATGAGGCTCCACTCAGAACATCTGTGTTAAACCACTGAGACAGCTTGGGTGGATTTTGTTTTCTTAACACCGAACACACTCCCACCTTTATGTTCCCTTGAGGATGTTTTGCAGGAGGGAGGAGAGGGGAATCTTATTTCATGGTTATCAGAGATCCAGGCACTCTAGGTCGTGGGGCTCCTACCTGGTCGTCTCGGTCTGTTTTTTTTTTTTTTTTTAAATTAATGAAGGAATGTTGGCCATCATACCATCTCTAAGCACCAAGGGGGCTCTGAGTTTTACTTTTTTATCTTCTTTAATAGTTTTAGGGGATACAAATAGTTTTGGTCACGTCGTTGCTTTGTATAGTGGTAAAGAAGTCTGGGCTTTATGTGGACCCATCATCCCACCTGTGCACATTGTACCCGATAGGTGATTTTTCATCCCTCCACCCCTTCTGAGTCTCCAGTGTCCATTATACCATTCTCTATGCCTTTGTGCTTCCTTAGTTTAGTTCCCACTTATAAGTGAGAACATGTAGTGATTGGTTTTCTGTTTCTGAGTTAGTTCACTTAGGATGATGTTCTCTAGTTCCATCCAAGTTGCTGCAAAAAACATGATTTCATTATTTTTGATGGCCGAATAGTATTCCACAGTATATATAGACCATATTTTCCTTATTCATTGATTGATGGACATTTAGGTTGATAGCTTTGCTTTCTTTAACCACAACCATGCAGGACAGCTAGAGTGGTTTTTGTTCTGCAGGTTGACTAAGAGCACCCCGAAGATGGTAGCTGCCCTGCCCAGGGCTCTCTGCTAGGCCTGACACTTCTTAAGCTAACATGGACAGCACTTAAACAGCGGCACCACCTGGAGGCCGTGGGTCACCAAGCGTCCCTGCTTGGAGTTCCCTGAAGCATGGGCCATGTTGGCGCAGTAGCCAGGCCTCAGCAGAGGCCAGGATTCTGTGCCTCCCATGCGAGCCCAGCCTTGTCCTGACCTCAGCCTCTCCTCTCCCTGCAGATCTGGGTACCACAGACATCCAGAAGAAGAAGCTTGTGGACGCCATTGTGAGTGGGGACACTAGCAGGCTGATGAAGATCCTGCAGCCGCAGGATGTGGACCTGGTGCTGGACGGCGGTACCAGCCTGCTACACCTGGCGGCAGAAGCCGGGCAGGAGGAGTGCGCCAAGTGGCTGCTGCTCAACAATGCCAACCCCAGCCTCCCTGACCGCCGGGGTGCCACCCCGCTGCATGTGGCTGTGGAGCGGCGCGGGCGTGGTGTCGTAGAGCTCCTGCTGGCACGGAAGAGCAGTGTCAACGCCAAGGATGAGGACCAGTGGACAGCCCTGCACTTCGCGGCCCAGAACGGAGATGAGTGCAGCACACGGCTACTGCTGGAGAGGCACGCCTCCGCAGATGAGGCGGACTTTGAGGGCCGCACACCCATGCATGTGGCCTGTCAGCATGGCCAGGAAGGCATCGTGCGCATACTGCTACGTCGTGGCGTGGACGTGACCTTACGGGGCAAGGATGCCTGGGTGCCACTGCACTATGCTGCCTGGCAGGGCCACCTGGCCATTGTCAAGCTGTTAGCCAAGCAGTCAGGGGTGAGCGTGAATGCTCAGACGCTGGATGGGCGGACACCGCTGCACCTGGCTGCCCAGCGTGGACACTACCGTGTGGCCCGTGTCCTCATTGACCTGGGCTCTGATGTCAATGTCCACAGCCTACAGGCGCAGACACCACTGCATGTGGCCGCAGAGACAGGGCACACCAGCACTGCCAGGCTGCTCCTGCACCGGGGTGCTGGCAGGGATGCCGTGACTGCAGATGGCTGTACTGCCCTGCACCTGGCGGCCCGCCATGGACACCTGGCCACCGTCAAGCTGCTGATGGAGGAGAAGGCTGACGTGCTGGCCCGGGGGCCCCAAAATCAGACGGCCCTGCACCTGGCTGCTGCCCACGGGCATGCAGAGGTGGTGGAGGAGCTGGTGAACGCCGACCTCATCGACCTGGCTGATGCACAAGGGCAGAGCGCGCTGCACCTGGCTGCACAGGGCCGGCACGCGCAGACCGTGGAGACCCTGCTCAGGCATGGGGCCCACATCAACCTGCAGAGCCTCAAGTTCCAGGGCAGCCACGGCCCTGCCGCCACGCTCCTGCAGCGAAGCAAGACCTAGCCTGCCACACAGAGACCAGTAGGCCATATGTGGCCCTTGTCCTGTCCTTGTGGGACAGAACAATGTTGCATGGAGCTCCACTTGCCGTCATGGCTTGACAAAACATTGTACGGAGGTGATGCAGGTGCTATCCAGAGACTGGTGCTGCTGATGGGCGTGTCACCTCCACAAGAAGTTGGCCAAAGCACAATTGGCTGTTTCCCATCCACCTATTGAGGCGCCTGGTGTCCGAAGGGACAATGTGTCGGAATCATTTCGTTGTGCTCCTAGTGGGCCGCTGAGGCTGGTCCCTTGGTGACAGAGCCCCAGGCAAGGACAAATTCCCTCTGTCCAGAGGTGGCCACCTCAGATTGCTTGAAGTGCACCAGTCTTGAGGGAGGTGGTGCAGGAGGAGCTATGTTTCTTACCTTCATATGCAGCAGCAGGCAGAGAGGCCCATCTCAAAAAGGGTCCGTGGAATTCTTGTTTCATCAGATAGCTTGAATACCACAACAGCTGTTGATTGAAACCTGTTAAAAACCTTCATAACATTAGGTAGTCTAGTGTGTGAGGAATGTCTAAGTAGTAGGGCTGGTTGACTTGAAACATGATGATGCTTTATGCAACGATCCATGAACAGCAGCAGCTAGCCCTGTGGGGATGTGTACAGGCCAGCTTGGTATATGCAGGTGCTGGTCCTTTGGTGAGCCCGTGGTCAGCCACACACACGTGTCCACAGTGCTAGTTGCTGTTGTTCAGTTCTTGTTGTGTAAAACCTTTAGGGAACTTGAGAGTCACGTGTGCAGAAGTCATTAACACTTCTTCTTTTATAACGTCGGTCCTGGATGTTATGAGCCTGACGTTATAAAACAGTGTTATCCAGGTAGATAAACTGCTCATCTGGTGTCTTTCCAGCTCTCACTTGGTAAGGTGGGTATTCGTGCTGAGGGATAGTGTTTGGGGTCTCAGAGGGGTTTCCTGACTTGTTTGCAAATGGCTGCGCTGTGTGTCCACACCTTGGCGGTTTGGGATGTGACCCCAGGGTAGCTCTTGGATGTCAAAGATTTGACCATCTAGCTGATAACTTCATTGTCACCTGCATTCCATGTGCTGCCTTCTGAATACTGTTATTAGAATAAGTTTGTGGCAGAACATGACCCCATGTACAAATACATGCCGTGGCCTTGTGTGTAATACAGAGATTGATATTAATGTACCGTGTATGTTAATGTGAATCTGTGGGCAGGGTACTTCTGTTCCATGACAGGAAATATCCTAGCTGTTAAAACTGGCTATGTTTTAATATGCCTCATTGTGCTTTTACTATGTATGCTACTGTTAAATGCGTGGAAAACCGCGTTGTTTGATGTCAATAAAGCGCAGTACCCGTCTACTTTCATGAAATCTGTTGAGACTGCTTTTTCTCATAAATGAGCTCAATCATAATTTCTGAAAACCAGAGTCTGAGATGATATGTGGTTTGGAGGTGTCCTTCCGGAAGGGAGGGCATGCATACAATGAATTAACCTGTAACAGCACAAAGGAAGCAAAGTGGACTTAAGTGTCCGTCCACCTCAGCCTGGGCCCCGTTGCAGGTGTGGTGCAGTGGAGAGATAAGTACATCTTGATGGAAGAAGCTCCCAGCACCAAAGTTATTTCTTTTTTTAACTTTTAAGTTTAAAAAAAATTGTTTTAGAAGGTCTTACTCACTCTCACCCAGGCTGCAGTGAGTGGTGCCATCATAGATCATTGCAGTCTCCCAACTCCTAGGCTCTGGTGAGCCTCCTGCATCAGCCTCCCAAGCAACTGGGACTAAAGTTGTATGCTTTCACACACACCCAGCTAATTTTTATTTTAATTTTTTTTTTTGAGTGGGAAGTCGGGATCATACTATGTTGCCCAGGCTGGTGTCGAACTCCTATCCTCAAGCAATCTTCTTACCTCAGCCTCCCAAAGTGCTGGGATTATGGATGTGAGCCATGGTGCCTGGCCCAAAGATTTTTATTTCTTTTTAAGTGTTTATAGTTCTTAATGTTCTGTATTTTGAAATAATTTCAAGTTACAGAAAAATTACAAGAGTAGTATATGAACCTCTGGTGTAGCCCTCACCCAGATTCCCCATCTGCTTACATTTTTACCTCATTGGCCCAGTGGTTTTTTTCTCATCCACCCACTCACCTGAGAATAGATTGCAAACACTGGCCTATTACCTCTGAATAGTTCAGTGTATATTTCATAAAAGTAAGGACTTTCTCCTATGTAGCCCACAGTCTACCTATCAAAATCAGGAAATTAAATTGTTTTAGTACTGCCATCTTATCCACAAGTTCTTTTCAAATTTTGCTGATTGTCTCAAAAATGTCCTTTATAGAAGAAGAAAAAGGAAACTACAAAAAGCAACTCTTCCTTTCCCCTCTCTGGCCCAGGAACCCACTGTATTTAGTTATACATGTCTTTATTTTTCTTCATTCCTTACTTCCTTGATCTCTAGTTTTTCACAACATTGACTTTTCTAGGAAGTACAGCCAGTTATTTTGTGAATTGTCCTCAGTTTAGGTTTATCTGATTTTTCTCAAGATTTAATTTACATCATGCATTTGGGGCAGAAATACTGTAGATATGATACTGTGTATAAAGTAGAACTTCCCCCCCACCCCTTCCCTTGATTTCCTGGGCCCGGGAGGTCTTTTTGCTTCAGCTTCCCAAGTAACTGGACCTACAGGCACACATTACCATACCTGGCTAATATTTTATTTTTTTGTAGAGACAGGGTCTCACTGTTTGCCCAGGCTGGTCTCAAACTCTTGAGCTCAAGCAAGCCTCCCACCTCAGCCTCCTAAAGTGTTGGGATTACCTGTGTGAGCCACTGGGCCTGGCCCTTTCCCCACTTTAATTTATTTAATAGTAGTCAATACATGATTGCAGATTCCTATTTAATCATTGGTTATATTCCAATATTATTTTGATGCCCAGATTGTTCCTGATTTGTCCAGCTTGAGTGCCTGCATATAGGCTCCTGTGTCCCTCAACACCTTGCACGTTTCTCTGAGTGCTCCATCACTCTGACACAGTGAGGGATTCTAGGCTCATCTTGTACTTCCTCAGACTCAGAAATAGCCACTTCTCCAAGGAAACCATTTCTCTTAGGGTTGAATGGTATTTAGAAACCAAGCTCTGGGTCCTGGATGTGCTTATGGCCTTTGGGATATCATTGCTTCTGTACACTCAGCAGACAGACCTAGGAAGTATGTGTGTTCAACTTATGTGTATATACACAGACATACACATATGGAAACCATGATTTCACACCAGTGTCTTCCATTACAACCCAACACCCAGGGATTATTCTAGCTTTTCTATATTTGTGGCTCCTCTATCTGGCTGTGGGAGATGTTCCCATCATCCTCAGCACATGCACGTTTGCTGAATCCCAGGACAGTGCAGAGTGAACAGCCTTGCCAGCTGAGTTCTCTGGCCCTGCAGAAGGACTATTTAACAGTTTTTTGTGCCAGGAATCAAAGTCTATGAACTTTTTCTTACTAAGATTTTGCCATTTGGCATAACTTTCCTTTGTTTCCATTTAGGTACTACATTATTTCTCTTTGTCTTGAAATGATAATTTTTAAATGTTTACATTTGTTTTCTTCATTTCCCAGAAAGTTTGGGCATTTTCCCTTTTCCCTTGATCCCTATTTCTTCTTTTTCATTCAGGAGTACCTTCTGGTTTTTTTTTTTTTTTTTTTTTTTTTGAGTTGGAGTCTCACTCTGTCACCCAGACTGGAGTGCAATGGCCACTCCCAGCAACTGCAACCTCGACCTGCTGGGCTTAGGCGATCCTTCTGCTTAGCCTTCCAAGTAGCTGGAACTACAGGTACGTACTACCACACCCGGCTAATTTTTTATTTATTGTAGAGATGAGGTCTCGCCAAGTTGCCCAGGCAGGTCTCGAACCCATGGGCTCAGGCAATCCACTCACCTCAGCCTCCCAAACCGTGGGATTACAGGCTGAGC